ACGTTTAGGGGCAGAGTATTTAAACTGAATAGGCTCAGTTCAAAAACGATGGTACAAATCATCGGTGAACAGTAACAGCAAAACTGAACGGCATAAAATGAGTTCTCAACCTGTATTTTGCTGAGGATAATGGAGAAATCCTGACAGAATTAGTACACACAAGTCTAAGCAGCTTACGAAAGAATGGATTAAACCAACAATCACAGTCAATGACTTCGACCAATGACTGCTGGCACAATAGATAAAAGACCAGTGGGAAAAAGTGATACTGGAAAAAAAACCACTAATATGACATGGATCCACTGTTCAAACTTAACACTATCAAAGGAAAACACTCAAACGTCTGAGACTACACACTGGATTCAGTCAGAAGTCTTATCCTGTGTGAGGCCAGAGAGAACATCTGGATTTAGTCCATGCTTCCGACTCTAATTATACAATCATTGGAAGTAAAGGAGAATGTGTTAAAGAGATGCAAAAATATTAGAGAATGTGGGAAATTATACCAGACAAATAATCCAATTACACCATCATATGAGTTACAAATCTAACACAAGAAAGTAGGCCAACGTTTCTAATCAAAGAGAACTAAGATACAAAAAATGAAAGTATATTGTTTGTTTATAATTTAAACATATCAGTTATAAAAAGTAAACTTTTGAAACAGTGGCANGAACTCTGCTCATAATGGGCAATTCCAAAGACATGGAGATTTGATGCCCCATATTCAAGTGCTCTGTTCTTATGTGGGCACCGTGACACCACTGGCGTTGTTTCACAATGGTGTACAGGCATCTGTCATGTTACTACACTTGCTTTGCAGTGCTTAGCAGATATCGTGTTTTTTACAAATTGAAGGTTTGTGTCACACCCATATCAAGCAAAGTCCATTGGTGCCACTTTTCCAGCAGCATGTGCTTTTGTTGTGTTTCTGTGTCACATTTTGGTAAATCTCACAATATGTCAAACTTTTTNGAACACACCTGCAGAGAGTGTGTTCACACGCAGCCTTCATTCAAATTGAGGAGAGTAGCCAATAAGTAACAAAGAAAATATTACATATTATGCAGTAAGTTATAAGGAGACAGTTGCTGTGGAAATATGAGGGTACTTCAAAAAGTTTATGGAAATTTTTGTATGCTCTTTCTATTGTATTTGTATGATTTTTCTTACCCCACATCCTTGTTATTACTTGTGATGCACTTCTTTGTACAAAAGTACTTCAAAAAGATTGTGGGAAAATAGAATTGAAAATCTCACTAGGAAATAGAAGGATCAGGATTCTTCTCAAGGTGGAGATGATATTAGAGCACACATTGAAAGGCAGGGAGGCAGTGATTTGAATACAAGGGGAAGTTGTTCCATGTGGAAGAAATGGCCAGCACAATGTCCTAAGGGCAGGAGCTTGCCTGGATGACACGTATGTCCACTGTGTCAGTTCAGGGGTGGCTGCTAATATTTTCTGGTGGGTTTTAATAGACTGTACCATATAGAAATCTTCCTACCAGGGACACATTCACCTAAGTGCAACTCCATGCCTCCAGCCCAGAACTCATTGTCAACTACTTTTTTGGCTTTTCCTTCTTTGCCAGGGCAGATCATTGGCTGCTGCCCTGGAAAACACACACACACACACACACACACACACACACACA